CGGTGGTAATGGGCCTACAATATCGATGTGAACGTGATCAAAGCGAGCATCAGGCGTAGCAAACATACCGATAGCTGCAGGTACGTGCCTGTGCACTTTGGATCGTTGACACTGTAAACATTGTTTAGCCCATATTTAAACGTCCTTATTCATGAATGAGCAAACGTATCGTGTAGGAATCAAACGAAGTGTTGCTGCGATGCCTGAATGTGATAAACCATGTAAGGTGTCGAAAACTAAGCGACGATAAGATGAGGATACTATAGGTCGAGGTAGACCTGTAGACATGTCACATAAGATGGTGCCATTAGAAGTCGTTTATAGTATCGCCTGACATCTTAAGGAAGTTGAATGAACCGCCTCTTCGCAAGATGAATCATTTGCCTGGGTGTTAGCCATAGCACTGATATCTAAAGTAGACTTTGTCGCATTAGCGTGAGTACGTGATAAACCGTCCGCAACACAATTCGACTTGCCTTGGAAATGCTGAATATCAGTCGTGAACTGTGAAATAAAGTCTAAGTGTCTGATTTCTCGGGGTGAGTAACGGTCAGACTTATTAAACAAGGTATATGAAAGAGGTTTATGGCCTTTAACAAGGGTGAAAGCTCGACCTCCAACTGTATGTCTAAAATGCTTAATGGCGTTGTAAGCTGCCAGCAGCTTTCTTCCAAAGCACTATGTTTGGATTTTGTGGGTGTAAGGCGTCGAGAGTAAAACTCAAGAGGTTGCCAAAACCCAGAAACCTGCTGTTGCAAGACCGCTCTAAGTGCAAAGTCTGGAGCATCAGCCGCTATACTAAGTGTGGCTGACGGTACAGGATTTAAAAGCAGCGTGGTCTGCGCTAAATACGTCTTATCTTCTTGGAATGCTACTCGTGCGGAATTCGTAAGCGGGAGCTTACGTGGATAACCACAAAGTAGGTCCGTAAGAGGTTGCAGTCGTTGAGCGGCGTGTGGGATGAATCGTCTATAGAAATTCAACAAGGTTATTGTAAGGTAAATCAATGAGCTAGGTTATTCACAAGCAGGGTTATACCACTGCGGAATGAATTACCTGAAGAAGTTGTGTACTGTATTAGTGTTGAATGTTTCAAGAGAAAGCTATAAGAATGCTGGGCAGTAGTATTTCACGAAGTTGAAGGTTGAGCGGTGATCGCTAGACTTACTTTCTGAAACCTTGCAAGCGAGCTGATACTGCACACTTGCATTCTGCCTTTCAGGAAACACTATTGACTCGAAGTTTTGGAAGCCAACGAAACCGCCACCAGCACAAGGAACTGGATGCCCGATTAGCGAGAGCCACAACTCGGCCTGTGAGAACTGAACTGAACTGAAGTATTTTTTCTTCCAGGTGCTGTTTGGTCATATTTTTAAATCGGTTCGACAACCTCATATCATTTGTTTACGGTTAATTATGACTAGCCCCGAGCATAAGTATACAACCGACGATGAAGCACTCTAGGCCCACATCAGGACCCCGAAGTTCATGCCTGAGGATCCAGAGGCTTTTCTCACGCTTCTGGAATCGCGATCCCACGGAATCCGCATAGCTGGACAACTGTCACGTTACCATAAGCTGTTGTCCGTAATACAGCGAGGTATGCCAAGCAATTCCAGGGATATCTATATGAATACCCCCGCTCATGTTCCATACGACTTGCTGAAAGATGCACTCCTCCGTCGTATGGCTATTTGCGAGGATTGGAGCATCCAACTGCTGTTGTCTTCGATTCAACTGGGGAACCTCAATCCGTCCCAGTTACTGCAACAAATGCGTGCTTTAGTGGGCAAAACGATGTTAGACGACTCTATACTACGTCAAACCTGGATCCAGCGGCGCTCGCCTTACGTGTAGAGTATACTTAACGTCTTCGCCCATACTCACAATCTCGACAAGCTATCCGAAGCTGCTGAACAAGCCATGGAGCAAGCTCAACTTTTTCAGCCTACAACGGCGAACGTTAAGAGCCCTGAATTAACCATGGTTCACCAGACGCGTCCGAATTCAGCTCTCGTTAAGCTCTCTAACGAACCCGTGACAGAAGTTCAAATTTTGTGTCAGCAGTTGGATGTACGCCATCTAGGGTCGGTCTGTGCTATTACTACAGAGGCTTTGGTAATCAAGTTAGGATGTGTGGACCACCGTGTTCGTTCAAAAACCAGTAGGGAAAATAACAGGCCAACAGGTCACAGAGACAACCTCAACTTGCTCCCCCACCCCTTGTCGTCTACTTTATATCTACGCTAACTCGTCCAAGGTTAACAAATAGATAATGATAATACAGGTATATTTCACGGAGCCCCGTGAAGCATGCATAGGTATGATCAAATGCACAACACAATCATCAGCACTAGAGAAGCACGAAAATTCGAAGTTGGCAATAGACTGAAATACAGATGGAAAATAAAGCGGACAAGAACAAAGGAGAAATATGTTGAGGATGGCGGAATACTATCAAAGAGCATGTCAGTGGAAGTAGGACAAAAAACAGAAATGGTTATACCAGATGGAGGGTGAGATGTTTGGACGTACGACAATCAATGAGCAATATAAAGGTGGTCGGCGGATCAATGGATGAGAATAACTAGAAACAGGCACAAAAACGGATAGGATGAAACAGAACAGAGTTAAGCATCTGTCAAAGTATATGCATTCACTATGCGTTGTGACAGTTGACTTCTGCGGGGTCACATTCGATGGCTTTAAGGGCTTCGATCAGGATTTGGGTTATTTAGTCGTTGGTCTCTTGAAGTGGAACTAACTACACGCTAGACACCCAACCTAAATCACCTTATAGATGAGGCAGGGGGTGAGTTCCTTAACCTGGTTTGGAATGCGGACGCATGTAGTCAAAACGTTGGATACAGCGGCGCCCAATAACCATTACCGGAGCCCAATTGTCCATTGCGGGTGTAGACCCCAAGCCTTCGTCAGTCCCAAACCAATGGATTCTGGAATAGGAAGGCGAAATTCGGCAGTCTGGGGGTGAAACGCAGCTGAGATAGGAAGGGGGAGAAACATAGCGAAAGGCCAACAAAAATTATGATCAAGTGAGTGTTTGGGCCACAATGCTGTTATAAATATGTACCAAAATGTCTTGTTTCACAGATCTAGCTTTTAAGCTGAATCTGTGTACTGATAGGATTTCCTTTGAGAAAGTGAACCATGCAACTTGGTTAGCATGTGCCACGAAATTGAGCCAAATGAATAAAATGAAAAACGAAATCAGAGGGATATCAAGTGAAGAGTAATATGTCACAATACCAAAATGTGCCATGTTCCACCGATCTAGCTTTGGTTTATGGTAGATACTGGAACGCAAGTCAGTTTAATCTCATTCAATAAGCATAATGCTGCCAGCCCAGCAGCACTGACTTTGCAGGCAGCCAACGGTAACCCATTATTTGACTTCGCTTATTTGTGCTTTATTCGCATCTTATTCGTTTTAATCGCGACCTGACCGCTCACATTTGACTCGTTCGAGTCCAGCGTAACGGTGAGCGTGCTATTCTTATCCAGACTCATTTTCTTCCGTTCAGATTGGTTAAAATTAAGCTCACGGCGACATTTGGATTCTGTTTTGTTTCGAGATCACTTTGAGGTTTGTACGTATTTTATTTGCTTATTTGTTTGTTTAGTAATGCAGTACCGTAGAAACTTGCTGGATCGTCCATTTATTGAGGTTTTGGGATCCGATTTCGGCTACCCATTGCTCGTTAATCCATTTTGGAGGCACAGTGGTTCCTCGGGCCCTGCTCCCTAGGATTCACCAGGAATAATGCAGACTAACAAAGATGACCAGGTAGTCACTACTACTGTGTAGTACACAAACATTTCCGGTGTCAAAGTTAAGTGGGGCGAACTGTTGGGCTGGAATCCGGGTTTCAATGATCATATCTGTTATGCCGTCAGATCGTTATGTTTAAATCCGTTGCCTACTATTAGGTTGCACAGTACTATATCATAGATAAACACCACAAGTGCAAAGAACACACGATATAACACAGTAACAAAAGTAGCAAAAAAGAACAGCGGACTAACATGAAGTCAGTGAACGGATGATTGTAGAATTCAAAAGGACTGAAAATTCCTCTCTAATGCCTTGCATTTTCTCATCTTTCTTCGCTATTCTATCGTGCATTCTTCCTAACTGTGGTTTCCATGTCGGTGACTTTTTTATTCTGAGTCTTCTATTTCACCTATTTGTGATGAAGTATATCTATTGGATACATGCTTCAAGTGCTTTGTGCTTATACGTAAATCCAATTCATTGCTTTTTCTTGCTTTAATACGACCAAAGTTTCGATTGGACGCTCTTTGTTGAACTAACCGTTGCTTTCGGTTATATTGAACTCATTTGGCTGTAACGCTCAATATTATTTTGCTTTATCTGTTGGAGCGTGCAGAACTTTTCTATTAGTCCAGAATTATCTTAAAGGTAACACAACTGACTCATTCACTTATTTACTTTTTACTAATGCAGATATTTTCTGTGAATATTTGTAACATTTTGGTTAGAAAGTAAATCAGGCTCACTATCAGAGGAATGAGTACCTTATGTATTTTTGAATAATGCTAAAATAGTACCGTAGATTACTTTTTGATCGACTTGGTTCTCGATGCTCTGGGCTACGCGTTGCTCTGAGGTTTGTTCATCGCTATCCAAAACGAGCAAAGGGTCATCTGATTGAACGCATACAGACGCGGTCTTTGTCGTTGCGCTCGGTCCAGGAAAATCGCTTTTTGTTCGTTACATGATAGTTCTGTGAGC